CAGTTCAGTGGTGCTCAACCTTTCAACCCGGCAGAGCAAACGAGTGGCCTGGGGAAGGTCCACAGGCCGAACCCACATGCCAGGATCAGGCCCTGGGACCTGGCACTGCCCCCTCCCTGCCCCATGGACTGGGAATGGACTCCAGGGGTCTACCTGGCACCACCCCTGCGTGGTGGGACTGGGCCCTGGGGGTCTGGCACTGCCCCCTTCCAGCCCCTGACACTGATTTCCCTTACTAGGTCAGCCTTATCCTATGGGGATTTCCCCTCTGCACAGTCATTTCTCCCTGCTGGGGGCAGCAGGATACAGAGGGCTGTGATCTGTGGGAAGAACAAGACAGGACATCCCTGAGAGAACTGGAAGAAGTGGGGATAGGTCATTGTGTGAAAGCATGAAGCCTAAACATAGGTAGCTTTGGCCTGCATGGTGGCCCAAGATTTGTGCAGACCCAAGATGCTGGTATTTCTGGACCTTGTCTGCTCCACCAAGGGACAATCTCTCCTCATGGCAGAACAGCTAGGAAGGAAATCTGTAGGACTCATGGAGTTTTCTGTCTACAAGGCGGAAAAATCTTGCGTAGGAAAGGTATCTGGCCTTCAGCATTTGACTAGCTTGTCCATAGATTACAACTTCTATGTGGTGCGGAACCAGGACTCACAATGCTTTCTTGTTTTGGGGCCACTTCTCTCACTGCCACTGAAACAGAAGATGTTTCTGCTTCAACCTTGCTAATATTCAGGTCACACTAGACCCTGCTTGTGCAAATCACACAAGATGCTGCTTACCCATTGATTTCTACAACTTCCTCCTCCAGCAAGCCACTATTCTTGCAGTGCTTGAGGGATACCAACTACAACTCTTTACAGATGTGTGATCCCGTCCCTGACTAACATGAGGAATTAAACGCTGATTCACAAGGGAAGCAATTTCTGTCTACCAATCCACTGGCTAGTTAAATTACCAAACAGGGCCTCGAGTGCTGCACTTTCAGAAGTTAACAGTACAGAGTAACACATTTAAACTAACAATACAGCTTCCCTGTCATTCACAGGAATATAAAATTACTGCCCCTCTGCCCAGAACACAATGGGGGACAGATTACACAAGAGAACAGCAGCGAGAGCTTTCTATCTGCAGCCATGAACATGAGTCTAATTCTCTCTCTCTCTCTCTCTCTCTCTTTTTTTTTTTTCTTTCTTTTACGGTGACAAAGATAATGTAAAGTGGAGAGCAAAGCGAGAGTGAAAATGACCGGTTTGGGTGCGCAGAGAAATGGATGGAAAGCTAAATTGAATGAAGCACTAGAAAATGTACTTTAAAGAACAACGCTAAACTGGCAGGGGGTGGACTGGATGACCTACCAGGACTTTTCCATCTTTAACTTCTTGATTCTATTAAAAAGCTGAGAGAGTGAACAATGCATCCACCTCTCCCTTTTTTTCTTTTTCCTTTGGCTTCATGAGGAAATGACATTGCAGCCTGTTTTTCCCAAGAAATAATCAGGAACCAAACCTCAGAAAACAAAACAACACTTTAGAAGAGTTATTTTGCTTCTACTGGTATAAATACAGGTGATTTATTAACAAGTTCTGTTTCCTTTTTAAGACTGTCCCTGGCAGCCAAGGGAAAAGCCAGGTTATAATGATGTGTGTCCTATTACAAGAGGAACATTTAGAACTATAAATAACAGGCCAAATCAGTAGGTCTTTTCTCAGGAAAATCTCTCATTTGAATCCAGAGGGAGAAGGACTGCAGAAGGCAGAGTATGGTTTGCACAATTTGGTTTAATAAGAGGAAATTATATGATTATAGCAGAGAGCAGTGGAATCAGGTTTACTGAGCATGGGAATGGACCCAGACATTTCTGACCCCCTAAGGTCATCTCCCATTGAACTGATTTTCTTTCTAGAATTCAACATCTGCAAAGAGGGGACAAAATTTTCCTGCTGCCTATTTCATAAGTTTTGCATTAGGATTATACAAAGTTTGTACATACTCTGTAGGGGAATTCATAGCTATTACAGTTAACTCCCAGCTCCACGTTCTGCTATGTATAAATCATATTAACTCCCAGAATGCCTGGGAGGAGTACATGTGAGTGGTAGCTGATTATTCTATATGATATTAAAATCAGTATTCATATTTTAGTTATATAATTAGAACCTAGACTACAGTGGGAGAGTATACATATAAATGGGAAAAAACAATAATAAACAATACAGAGTCATACTTGTATTATACTTAGCCCCCATTTATATGTGTACTTCTTCCAACATATTCTGGGAGATAGTATGTGTTATATATACAGGAATATCGGAATGTAAAGCTGTTCCTTTTCTACAGATGTGAGGCAAGAATAATGACCATTTTTTCAACACTACATTGAGTCTTCTGCACCCAGTAAATTTTCTAACAAACAGAAAGACTGTATGTCTGCTAACAAGGTTAGATGCTGTTCATACTTATCCATATATTAGACTGAGGATGAAGTCATCGGAGACTTCAAACACACTAGGATGAAATATCTCTCTAACCAGGCAAGGAGAAATCAACAGAGCAGTTGCTACTATACAGAATACGGCTGATCTGGGAAGAGACCCAAGCTTTGGAATCTGCAGGAAACCTAAATTAAACCCACATTTTAATCATATCTCTACGTGACTCTCTGAATTCTGGAAGCAGCCCTTGTGGGAAACACAGCTGGTGGAGTATTTTAACTGCAATGATGTCAGCCGGATTCTGATAGGCTTCTCGATAAGGTGACACTTTGCTGGAGGAGACTGTGACTTGCAGCTTTGTTTTCACAGCCTGCAAACTCAACATGCTTTTAGCCAGAAGGTGGCACTCTACCCTTCTGCAAGGTAGCTCCTTCCCAGTGTGCAACACCACAACGCAGTGGCTACACTGACATATCTGTGAACAAAACCCCATACAAATAATGCCTACTAATTTGTACCTCTTCTGCTGGTGCAGAGACCCGGCGTCTGGCTGCAGAGGGAGACAAATGAGAACAAGATGGAAACTGCAGATGGAAGATTACTATTTTGCAACCTCATTATTCAAAGCAATGGGGCAAATTGTAACAACTGGTTCTGATCCAAGGATTCTTCCTCAGAGCACGAAGCCTGACAGGAGACGCGAGGCTTTCAGACTACATAGTAATAAAACCATCAAGGAATAGGAGGCTGTCAATAAAAAATGTAACGCCAAAGCTCCTTTTTGGGTTTCTTAAAGTGACAGAGTCAAAACTGCATAAGAAAAGCAAATCTTGAGTGCCTTCCATCAATTACCAACAGTACTAGAGGCCCTAGTTCTCATGACTGTGTAATGGATTTGTAAATGTGAAACAACTACACACCTAATTTGCAGGTTCCGTTACCTTAAAGGTAGGAATGTAACTGTACAATGTAAACAGCTCTGGAAGCAAGGACCTTTTCCTATTAAAAACTGAAACAGGGTAAAAGCTCTTATCCCATGGCAGCTCCACTCTTTGTTTTCCTTCCCAGAAATCAGCACTAAAGCCATTCAGTTCCCAGTCCCTGTCCCTTTCTGACTCTCATGCTCTTCACTATACTGGTTTTAAAACCAAATCCAAACAATGTGCACCGAGATGCTTTTGTTTTAAAAAAATAACATGAATATTTCTGTGCACTAAATTGCTCTCTAATTTAGTTAATCTATCCCACACTGAACTACTCATATACCGGAGGTAACCATTTCCACTTAACACATTCTGGGTCTAAAAGGCACCCCCCACCTCAAACACACACACTGGTCTGAAGGGAAGTAGAGGAGCATGGGTAGCCTTGGCATGGTGGTCATTTTTCTTGTGAAGTTTCCTTAGGACACACAATCTGCCAGCTACGCAGTATTTAAACCACTTGTAGCTGAAACCTGAATGAAACTCTGTGTTGTTTCAGTGGCTTAAATGTGCGAATGAAACCATTCCAGGAGAGTTCCAGGTTTTCAAGCCATGGAAATTCACTGCCTCATCCCCTCCCTACCCCTCCAGGCTAGTTTTTTGTTTCAGACTGAAGTGTACTGTAGCATTCTGGAACAAGAATTAGTCAGAAGTAAAAATCAGCTCTCAGAGTGAAATATGTAAACTGAGCTATTCTACATTTTAATCATCTCCACTGAGCTCATGACTCTAATCTAGTAGATAAAGCGTGAAGGGCCTGGTACCCAATATTACCAACAGCTAGATGGGCAGTTCAGTGGAGTGGATAGGGCGATGGACTGGGGACTGTAAACTCTGTGTTCTCAAAGTTCTTGAAACCAGATCCGTTTTATACCTATGTATTTGTATGGTGCTTACTGTCTTCCTTGGGCTCAATAGTAATGTCTAGAGCAGGGAGGTCCAGCTTCCAAGACTCCGGGGGCCACATGCAGCGCAGGCTGCACCAGTTGAGCCACAGGGCCACGTGAACACTCCCTATCCCACTGCACCATGTGCCCAGGCACACACCACACCACCTCCACATGGGCCCGTGAGTGCAATTCCCCTCCCTACTGCAATGCATGAGTGCAATTCCCCTTTGCCTCCCCCTACTGCAAAGTGTGCCCTTGTGGGCAACTCCCCACACCACTGCACAAGGCCCCCCTCCACAGCTGCACTATGCAGGTGTGATCCCTCACACATGACCCCATTCCCCCTCTGTTTCCTGCATAGCCTCATACTCACCCTCAGCTCCCCACGCAGCTTGCCGTGCTGCCACACCCCTCTGAGGGGAGCCAGGGAGCAGCAGCTGGAGAAGAGAAGAAGCCCAGAGACCCCAGCTGCTGCTGTAGCCAGAGCGAGGGGGGGATGGTAGCCAGGCAAGAGCACAGGGGCCACAATTTAACTAGTCATGGGCCACCAGCCGGACAGCCCTGGTTTGGAGAACTGAGGATTAGTGAAGAACTGAACCAACCCCATCTAGCAAATCACCTTAAGCTGTTCCTAGGAAGCAAACACGTTTCTCATTCCACTTGTACCCTCTAGTGATGACACTTATTACCTGTGCTCGATGCTCTCCAACAGCAAACTGTATCACAGCAATGCCTGGGTTATGGCTGTCTTCAATCCTCTCCACAGTGCTGGAGTCTATTTTCAGGTCACTGCTGATTTCTGCGCTCTGAATAAAGTCTTCTGTTTTTAAGTCCTCTACCTTCTTCAGCTCCCCATTAGCCAACTGAATGATCGACCCTTTCATGAAGTAAGGGGGCAGTGTCGGAGGAGCTGCTGTCGGAGAAGCAACAGACTGCACCACGGGAAGGTGGATCTGGGCCTGCACCACGGCTGCCTGGTAGGCTGGCTGGGTTGCGAGCGACTCGACGCTGTAATTCTCATTCTTAGGAATGGCGGTAGTGACAAATGTATGAGGCACTGCTGCAAACTGGGGAGATGAAGTGACTATAGCAGGTGCTACTCCTGATGATTCCACGTCTGCATTGCCGACTGGTATAAGCAGGGGCTGGGTGCCAGGGATCACCAGATGCTGTGGCAGGTTTCCAGGGTAACCAATCGCTTGCTGCTGACCACTCAGATAGCCAATTACTGGCGGCTGGGTCCCGGCGTAGAAGGCCGTGGCAGGCAGTCCGACAGGGACTTGCTCAGAGGCGCTGTGGGTGGTCTGAATGACAGTATGAGGGGACAAGGTGGCGATTGTTTTCACCCCCTCATGGCCCATAGTCTGTTGTGGAGATAAAGCATAGGACCTGTGGGCTGGCTTTCCTAAATGCAAGTTTCCCTTGTCATTGAGGGTTGAGGGAGAGGTTTCTCTGTGGGTGGCCTGCTGGACCTCCATATCTGCGGTAGGTGTGCTGCTGTTCGGTACGACCATCACAGAGGCCCGGACACCAGAGGAATCTCGTGTGCTGTATTCGGCAGGACTCGGGTGAACCACCACGTGCCTGGCCTCGTAATGGTGAGGAGCTGGTTTATTGCCTGCTTTGACTAGACCCATGTCTGCAGAGGGCGAGAGGCCATACCGCCTGCTTTTCTCTAGCTCTCCATTCAGAATTTCCTTGGCCTGCATTGCTTGCAGCCGGCTGCTCTCTGCCTTCTTGATGGGATCCCTGGTGACAAAGTGGCCCCCAGAGTCTGTGTACTGCACCACCACTTGGGAGGAGGGCCCAAGGGTGAGTGTGGGTGGAATCACTGTTTGGTGGGGATGCATATGGACTGGGATGGTCGGAGGAGAGACGTTTCGGACCGCACTCTGGGGAGAGCCGGAAATGTGGACGTACTGGTTTTGTTGGGTAGGAGGAGGAGACCCTGCTGAAATCAACCCCGGTGTCCTGACGAGATGCTGCTCAACTTTGTGCCCCTGCTGGCCCAAGCTACTCATGCTGGCCAGCAAAGTGGAATAAGCCTCCAGCTGAGAGCGCTGGGATGGAGTGGTTGCAACAGCAGTGGCAGAGGCTGCTGCGCCAGTCCCGGAATTGGCTGTCGGGGAAATCAGCTGGGAGGGGATGAACCCGGCATATGGTCCACTGTACGGGGGCCCAACAAACTGGAAAGTGGGTTGCAGATGCGTGTACTGCACAGGGGAGACAGGCGTCCCTGATTGTGACAGTGCGGGTGAATACACTGTGGGAAGTGTTGTTGTAGCTGGAACGGACCTGGGAGCACTGGGTGGGGAATAGTCTATTCCTGTGGACAGTGATTTGTGTAAGCCCTGCTGTAAACCAATCTCCACCGAAGTCCCTCCAGGTCTGTGCCTTCCACCCATGCTGCTTTGGCTGCTGGACGTGCTGGAGAGCCATGTTAAGTTATCTGCACGGTGGTTCTCGTTTGGCAGGACTAATGGCTTCACCTCGGAAGGCAGGCTGGTGGCAGGGATTTCTCGCTTTTTGGGCGGCAGGCATTCATTGCTCCTTTCTTGGTTGGATTTCATCTTTCGCCGTCCCCCCTCCACTGCTCTTGCTTCACTGTCTGGCTGGTTCAGATTTCAGTCTGATAAATGGAAAGTCACATTTGATTTCTGAAGGGGATCCAGTGACTTCATGAGGAATCATCTCCTTGTGAGCACAATCTTCCAACAGCTGCTCTGGATTCTGGAATGAGACATGAGTTGGGGGGGAAAGGGAAATCAAAATATCAATTCAGGAGAAAGAAAAATCTTTACAAAATTAAGAAGAGACTTTCAGTGCTACAAACACTCCTAGGATCAGATTATAGCTCTACTTTAAAAGCAGTGAAACCACTGGCCACATCAAGTTAATACATCATAAAAATTATTAAGAGATTGGGCAATCAAAACTCAAAGACCATACTTTTCTGCAGTTAAGCATGGTAACTTTTTTAACACCTCAAGGCTCTCTGTTTCTCTCTCTCTCAAAAAGTGTTGTGTTTCCATATAATATATATGTGTCATTCTCACACACACTTGCCTCCACCTTTAAAAAAATGGGACAATCTCATCCTAGCAGGTCCTACAACATGGGATCATTGTAGTAAACTTATATGTTGCATGACAGAGAGCTCTGAAGAACACATGGAAAAATATTTACGTTAGCAACTAGTAGCTTTTAGTAGCTCAGAAGGAAGATGCATTTCTTGTGGCCTCTTAGACCTCTGAGTCAGCAACACAAGGCTTTCATTTTGCTTTGGTCTGCACTGCAAACAGTTACCTATTCCTCTTGTCTCCAGCCACAGCTCGTTACAATGAGACACAAGTGCCCTTCATCTACTCATTTGGCAATGAACAATGAGACACAAGTGCCCTTCATCTACTCATGTGGAAATGACCCCCAGCCAAGCCATTTATTTACAGCAACAGCATAAAGCCAAAGATGGCTCTGCGCCAGATTTTTAATGAGGTTTCTGTTACTTTTGAAGCCCTCTGCTATTGGCTGCTCATAGGAAAATGACCTGGTGGAACGCTACTCTGCAAAATAATTGGTCCCCGACATCCATATCTGTCTGTATAGGTCACAGTGTACCTGCCTGTTTAAACTATACACCACCATGATGATGGCCCTAGATGTAGTGCCTACTGGATCAAATTTCCTTGTTTCTTAGCAACCAATGAACTATGAGACAGCTGGTGTGTGTAACAAACAGATTTCCACCAGTGCAGGGGCAGGGCATTTCCTAAGTCTATGCGAATGGCTCTCTAACAAGAAGCGGAATAAACATTCCACCTTGGAGGTCGCAATTCAGACAGAAAGTCACAGGCAGGGAGCACAGCAGTACAGCTCAGATCTGAATTTGGATCTGAAGGTGCCCCACATTAAGAGGGTTTGGGGTGTTTGAGACTGGCCGCTCCCGCTAGACAAGGTAGAGGCAAGCACCAAATCTGTAGGTTGCTCAGGAATCGAAAGGCTCATGCATTTATATAGGTTTGAAGCAAAGTGTCACCTCTTCTGCTGACCGACTTAGGTAGAAAGTTGCGTCTGCCGTCATTAAGATAAGGGACAAGGTCTCCCTAAATCCTATCATTTCCTGATAAAGAAAACAGTGCGACCAAGGTGCTACAGTCACCCACCCTGGCGATCTTCAAAAAGGGTCTTGATGCCCACCTTGCTGGGAGCAGATGACCCCAGCAGTCTTTCCTGCCCAGGTGCAGGGGGGCTGGCCCCAATGATCTGTAAGGTCCCTTCCAGCCCCTAACATCTATGAAATGATGTCATTAATTAGTCCCTTTCTTTTTTAAATAAATTCAAAGTACTCCCCCCAAAAAGTTATGCACTCCTGTTCTTCTTTGTTTCATGATTGAAACTTTACAGAAAACGAAACTCTTCTCGCCCCCATTCAGCTACTGCTCAGCACCTGTACTGCTGCCTTTTTTAAAGATATGCAAGGGTGGGCGTTCAGAAATGTACCGCCTCACGCTACAGGACTTTGAACAACAGCAGCATTATTTTATGCATGAGAAACAGAAACAATGTGAGAGGAAGACTCAGTGGAAAGAGATGGTGCAACAGATATTAAATGTGAATGCTGTTTATCAGTAATGACAGTTTTCTTATACAATGGAAAGTAACATTCCTTCTGTTTCCCTTCTTCCCCTCCTCAACAAATGCCTGATCAGTGTTCATAATGCAAGGCATGAACAATAAGCTTGCCATATACCTCTTACATGGTATTATGACAACATGGAAGACTGAGATTAAAACCTCAAGGTCCTCATTTAGATTTGATATGCCTCAAAGCTGTTATAATCTTAAGGGAAAGGTCCAAAGTATTCTAATGGTGTGGGGTAATTTTTCTTTTTAAACGGGCCATTTCATGGCTGGAAAAAATAATAAATGTTAAATAAGCCACCACAGCTATTTGCATAGAGCCTACAGAAACAGTTTGCTGTGTTTTCCCTTCATGACTCTATAGGAGCAGTTTACTAGTGTGAAATAAAAGTAAGCTGACAGAGACTAGTGGACAAGTTATTTGTAGGTTCTGAAGCTGTTCTCAAATTAAAGCAGCTACAGTCATTTAACTTCTATGCCAAGCCCCAGGCAGAGTTACAGCTAGGAGAAATAAGGTGATCTAACTGGTAACAGCAAGGGACTGAGACCAAGGCCAGCTGGGTTCTCATCAAGCATGAATACTGACATTGCCCAGCTGTATGGCTCTGGGTGAATCACTTTGGCATTTGCCATGCTTCAGTTTTCCCTATCTGTAAAATAGGTATAAGCACTGCTGACCTCACAGTTCACTAAGCCCCAGTTAATGCATGAGAAATCAGTAAAGACCCAGAGCTGGTTTTGTACATAATGCTAATAATGTTGGTCACAGAGGACAGAATTCTGGTTCTGTCCATAATAAAGCATAACATTTTTCTTTAAAGTAATGAACACTGAAAAAATTATTTGAAAGCCTCCTTTCAGAAGTGGCTCCCTGCACAATCCCAGCTGATTTGCTCAGTCCTACAGACTTGCCAGTGAGCCAGGAAATCCATTACTACTGTAGACTCAGTTGGACAAGGGCAGGAAGGAGACAAGAGCCCCGTTATTTGGACTGCAGCTATCACTCTTTGTAACAGTTACTCAGCCTGTCTTGGCAACAGCTAAAATTATTCTATTACATATGACTTATAGATTTTTATTTTTAAGTTCAACTAAAAATAAAATTGCCAAGCTACATTTGCACAGTCATCGGTAGTTAACTTTAGCTCACTGTAGTTTTGTATCTTGGGCAGCAAACCTTGGCAGAAGCTCTCCCAGACTCAGGCAGCTGCACAGAAGCACTGGGATGGAACCTGTTTTACATATTCATTGTGTTCCTCCTATTTTTATAATGAGCTCCTATTGAACTTGGACGCTTGACAGAATCGATCTGTTTGATCTCTTGTACAGATAGGCCTTATTCCAAAGGATCTAAACATACCTAGAGAGGAATATTTGCATTCATATCTGAAGCTGAGATATGGCCCCCAACTGAATCCAAACCCCAGTTCTAAATATAACCCAGCTTTGGAGAAGGGATGAATCCTTCATTTATATAATGCACAAACCAGATCCCCAGATTTAGATGTTCTACAACTTCGAGGAGCTTTGGATTCAGATTTCCTGTCTCAAATCTACTAGAGGAAGTGTCAAGTGAAACTCAAGAGTTTCAGTTTGCAGGGGTTTTTTTGTTCTGCTGCTACTCAAAAGGTTTTCACTCCCTGAATTTTGGGTTTGAGTAAGCCCCAAAACTCAAAACAAAACTCCTTCAAAACAACCAAATATCAACTGCTTTTGTAATTAATTTATACATAACAATGTATTTCTACCTATAAGGAAAAAACATAAATGAGTCTCGAGTCATTCAGGTGGGGCTGGAGCTTAGCAAACCTTTTTTATGAACATGATGTTGGGTTGTAGACAGTAATGGAATCTGAAGCCAGATGAGACTTACATGGCTTTAAGGTACTGTTTATTTTTTTTCACAAGTGTTTCATAGAGATCACAGAGGTAACTGAAGGGTTTCCCATCATCTCTACATCAGTGGTTCTCAACCTTTTTGGAATCAAGGCACCCTTCACTGGACTCGAGGAACCCTTTCATAACTTTTGTGAATTGAGTAGTACCCAATTTCAAAAACTAATTTATATATTACAGGTCTTACTTCCTTGTAGAGGGAGCCAGGAGGTAGGAGTGGGGGACAAGCCAGGCAGGGACAAGCCTTAACCTGTGCTTATCTTTTTTATCTCCTCACCCCTTAAGATACCATTCAAAGGACCTCATGGCATCCTTGATGAGTATCACTGCTCCAGGTGCTGGAGTAGAAGGAGCAAACAAGCTAATGGGGGGAAAACAAACTGCCAATTTTGTTTCATTTCTCCCTGAATTATAAATGTTAGCCAAAATTTTTAAGTCTGGCTACCTGAAATTATGTTTCTAACTTATTTAGGAGATTAGCAGCTAGGTTTTCAGAACAGTGGGCACCCATTTCTCAATGAAACAAAATCAGCCCACTATGTCTTCAGTGTTTAGAAAGTTTTGGCCTAATATTTTAACTTAAATGACAGTAACAGCAAGAAGGATGCAACCAATTCCACTTGAAACATAAGAATTAGATCCAAAGGTCTACCCAGAGGTAAAGCATGAGGTTCACTTATTCTTCCTTTCCTGTCACAAAATCATATTCCCATTCTGCCTACACTCTCAGGCATGGTCTACCATTTATAATTTGCATGTTTATTTTGCAAGACTAAAATAATTCTTGGCTCTGAGATTTCTTTTTCCTTGTTTAATTGGAGAGTTTTTATGAGAATTTATAAAATCTGCAAAACAGCTGGAAATTCTGGACAATCTCAATCTCTGCTCCCTCCCCTGCCGTGCATGTGTGTATTTATGGCTCTCTGTTCTCTCCCCTGGGGGCGGGGGGGCGGGAAGGGGGGTGTATTTATGGCAAGGAGGTACAGGGGACAAAGGAGATTGGGGACAGCAGCTGGACTTTGGTATTCCTGGCAAACAGAACACATGGAACATTGCTAAAGTGTCCGGGTAGCCAGTGTCCGCTGGCAGCCTGCCCATGCTCAAATTCCTGGAAAGGCTTAAGGCAGAAACATAATCGCTTGAAGGAGCCACCATCTGGGTCTGTGCTAGTCCCACATGGATTGCTCACTAGA